AAAAGAGGCCTCGCACTTCTCCCAAATCACAACTAAGTGATAACACTATTTTCTCCTCTCTTAGACCTTCTCACTTAACCCCCCATCCTTTTCCTAATTCATCCGCGCGCACCCCTGACGGCTCAGTGCACGGTGGCACGGCAGATGGCGACACAGCACGGTCGCACTAACCACCAGGGACATGCGTCGGCCCACCTATCGAGTCGGTCACCATCCCCGACCCAAGCGGCTACACTAAGCGACAACACGGGGCGGTGGGACTCGTTGGAGCTAGCTACGGCGGCGCGCGGCCGTCCACGACGGTGGCGCGGCTGCCCTGGTGAACCAGAGCACCTAAGAACCTAACTGGCTAGCGAGGGAGCATCAGTAAACTACTGTGGACCTAGCCGAGGTGACGGTTGGGGTGAAGGATGGTGGAGGAGGTGTGGCCACATGTGGCCAAGCCGTGTGGCGGCGCACCACGGTGGCACGGTCGCGTCAGCGGCGACGGGGAGGCGGTCGCGGTTCCACTGGCCTACGCAGGGTGGAGAGGGAGGCAAGACGAAGCTAGTGGTGAAGGTGAATTGGCTCGGGAGGGACGGTAGGAGGGCTGCCCTCGTCCACAGCCGGACGCGGCCTTATCGGCACGGCGGCGGGAAAAGCGCCAAATTGGGTGGGGTCGGGCAGCGAGAGAACTTGATGGTGAAGCCGCAGACGTGCTGAATTAAATGGAAGTGATTACTCGGTGGCCAATTTAATGGCGTGGCTCGACGGCAGCAACAGAGGGAGAGAGAGGGACAAGGCGGCAAGTAGACTCGTCTCGGTCTCACCTTGGCGGGACATGGTCGGTGTGATCTAGGTATTACACGCGCGGACGTAATCGGACAGGCGTGTGCGTCCATCGACCGACATGGCCCGCGCGGGAGCAGTGCCATTAATGGCAAGGCGACAACGATCTTGGCCATGTGTGCATGGCATCTAACCGGGCCAGCAGCGGGGTATAGGCACAAGGGACAGGCGTGAACGCGATGGTGATGCGACGACACCGGCAAGAAGGTGCGTGCGCACACAAAGACGAGGTCGTCGGTGGTGCGACAAATGGCGGCGAGGTAGGCTATAGCGATAACGCAGATGCGGCAGGTGCATGACGCCGCGCCGGCCGTGCAAGCGGCAGCAGCAGGGGCGAGTGGTCGTCGGCCGAGCGGTGGCCGGTGGTTGGGTCAAAGCTAGCGGCCCGGCGGCCGGTGTTGCGGCCAAGGATGGCCAAGCCACGGCCAAGTCGTGACCAGACCGAGCGTGGCCTAGGCCAGCCGGCGTGCGGCCACGCACAGTGACCATGCGCCTAGGCCTGATGGCCCGAGCCTGAGTGCGTGGATAAATTTTAAAGCACCCATAAAAACTAAACGATTGATCTTGGAACACCTTCACCATGCTCAAGAGATCATATTAGGCTACCCCTAAGAATTAAAATATAGTACTACTCTTTAACTAGATTTCTCGGAATAAATTCGCAAACCCGGTGTTGTCAAACTGTTTTTAAACTTAAGAATTTTCTAAGTCTTTAAGCTAGTTTTGATTTCAAGTTCCATTTCTAAGCTATTGGAAACACTAACTAGCAATGTTATTTTTCTACAACAGAGGTTGCATTGCCATCTATAAAGTTTGTACTTCAAGCTTTATTTAGATGCCACATATATGTTCTATAGTATTTTTACTCAATAAAAATTGGTTTTCAACCCTACTTGATATACATGAGCTATTGAATCAACTTTCATTTAGTATTTTTATTAGTCATTGTAGTTTATAAGAAATTTATCTACACACTATATCACATGCATTATCACATAAACATGATGCTCATGACATGGTTCAGTAGTTTGTTAGGGTGTAACACCGAGGATGTTACAGCCTGATTGAGGGTGTGTTGGACCGACGAGGACGTCGGGTCCTTTGAGGGGGTGTATGTCATATCTGGCCTAGTTTGGAATTTGATCCATAGTGGTCAATGTGCATATTAATAAGATACTATGGGGGTTTAGTCCCACCTTGGTTGTTAAAGTTGGGTTAGACTAACATATAAGGCTTCTAGAGTCCATCCCACTATCCCCGGGTTAATCCTTTTACGCGAAGCGAGGATGAAAGCGTAAGTGGGATCTTCTGGAGTCCATCCCATCATCCCCGGGTTAATTCTTTTACGCGAAGCGAGGATGAAAGCGAAAGTGGGATGGTAGTTTTACGCGAAGCGAGGCGAAAGCGTAGCGAAAGTGGGATTACACGAAGCGAGGACAAAAGCGTAGTGAAAGTGGGATGGTGGTTTTACATGAAGCGAGGATGAAAGCGTAAGTGGAATGGTGGTAGGTGTGGTTCCCTCAGTGTGTAGAGTGGATCTGAGCCATTTTGACTCTAGGGCATTACACACCACCTCAGAAGGCTAGCGTGAGCTTCCTAGTCAAGTTAGAGGCCCAATACATATCAAGTTCAAGTATATCTTGAACTTCTAGAGCAACCCACACTAAAAAATTGCCCAGGTCGCATATGGACTCCGTCTTGGACATTATACCCATGCACGAAAAGCTAAGGAGATAATCTTTCCAATGGAACTGATCCCACGTCAAAATTACTTCAAAGTCAATAGGAATTAACGAAACAAGTGGATATCCAGAATCTGCCCAGGATCTGCGTCACCATATTTTGGGTCGTTGGACCTCATAACATGTCATGACTCCTATGGGACGCACCTTAGCCTATATATTCAGTAGCTGTCACCCAAGTTAGGGTTTATGTTTTGCTTTAGATCAATTTGTCTTCGAACAATCGTCATTCATTGGTTTGTGAAATCCTACATTTGAGGGCTTAATCATTCATCCTCAATTGTCACTTTACCTGAGTTACGTTCTTCTGAGTTCTTGTTTGTATTCTTTGATTTGCAGGTAGAGATTAGCCTTCTTCGTGAGGTCAATCGGATTGTGACACGGTTGATAACTAGAGGAGACGCGATGTTAAGGTTGTAGAGTTCGGGTCTTGTGATCTGAAGCCAAATTGGTGTATCGATCTCTGCCAAAATCGATATTTATCTCTACCTATTTACCTACTTTTATGTTCCTGCCCCTCTACCAAGTGTGAGTGAAAATGGTTGCCTATGAGAGTCATAGCTAGCTCTAGTCCTGAGTTGTGGGGGTCTGGAGCCAGACTAAATTTCCGAGGGCGTATGTATAATAAGCACTCATGATTGCAACTTCAAGTGACTAATGAGAATTTAAAGTCAAAAACAGGCTATTGCAACATCGGAAAACAATTTTCAGTCTCCATCTGTCTCAATCAAAATAGAAAAACAACATCCAGAGAAAAAGTAATTGCAAACTTGTTGTTGGGACATCTAGTTATAACTGCCGCAACATCTAAAAAGTACCCATCTCCATCTAGATGAGAACATATCAAAATTCGCTTATTGCGCAATGCAACATCCCGAAAAGGTCATGATGACAAAATCAACTTGATGTTTCAACATCTAGTTAAAGCTACTACAACACAGATGAATCCCAAAAAATCAAACATTGAAACAATAGAAAACATGTGCAGCAACATCACAAAAATATACCCATATACCATGTATCGCACATGAGGATTGAGGAGCTCCAGCCCCGAGTAGCGTTGCTCCGTGGTGGTTTGCCCATGGCCACTACCATGCGGTCAGTGGTCTCCACTACCACCTAGACATGGGCACATGAGCCTCAGTGGGCTCCACTACCACCCACCTAGAGATGCTTGTCCCTCCTCCCAACAGCCATGACGACATGTCATGCAGCGTGGCCTCCATGGTGAGGCACTTGAGGTGCGGGGGGTGTGTATATCTGTGCAGCGGTAGATTGCAGGCAACACCGGATGTGAATCTTAAGGGAGGAAGGTTGGTGGCAGCAAGCACATTGGATCGAAGCACCTAGGAAGAGAATAATATTAGACAGTTCATAGTTAGGTGAAGAAATAAACAATATTATATGCATGGATAGGATTGTCTGACAAAAAAGAACTATGTTTGGACATCCGGGTGCTATCAACCTCGTTATCCAAAATCCAACCCTAACTCTGGCTATCAATTTCAAACAGTCCATGTAGTTTCATAAATCTAAAAATAGAATTTCACAACATAAATCTAAAAACATATATTATGAAAGTATTTCTCGTAATGAATCTAAAAACATAAATATCATATTTTTTTTACGAAAACCATAAATATCATGTTGTTAATCTCTACAAAATTTTAAAATCAATGGTAAAAAGTAAAAATATTTAACTTAGAATAGAACTAATACGAAGAATAGAACTAATATGACACAAAATAATATAAAAGGAGGAAGTATACGTTAAAGCCAAATTTTGTTCAAGCTTAAAAATATGGAGAAATTATTTCCTTGGCGTAGTGTTCGAATATATACGGCGGTTCTAGTGAGGCCGGAAAACAGACAATACCACTGTGTTCGTTATACTCGTTCTTATCTGTCTGATTAATATATAAAAACTTATTAATTAATTAATATAAAAGAGAGGGAAAAAAGCGAAAAAAAACAACGCAAGCTCACTCGTGCTGTCGTGCTGAAGCCAAACACGGAAGCCGGGTCCTCTGTTCTGTTGTCCTGGACGATCCCTCTGCCGGAGTTATGACTTGATTGATTTTTATTATTATGCCACGAAGACAGAAGATAATAAAAGTGAGATCGGAAGCAAGCAACAGCTTGGAAAACGGGCAGAAAATAAAACATCTTGGAAAAGGAGCCAACAGACCGATCGATCAATCGAAGCACCAAGAAAACTCGCGCAACACAAAATCTCTGCAACGATTAACCGGCCGCTGCGCCGGCGAGGACCGTCCTCCGGCGACCGGCGAGGCAGCAGCAGCAGCAGCGACAAGGGGATCTTGTTTCGCTTCGAGATCGGCCGCCGCGCTGGGGGCGATTCACTCGCGCCACTCTTCCCCTTCCCTACCCTGGTGGCGGAAACCTAATGCCGGCCCGAGTCTAGCCGCCATGGATTTTGCCAGCCGCCACGCCGCAGCGGAGGCGGCCACGTCGGCCGCCGCCTCCGCCGCCGCCCCCGCGGGGGTCGCCGAGGAGCCCGAGTACCTCGCCCGGTACCTTGTCGTCAAGCACTCGTGGAGGGGAAGGTACCGCCGGGTCCTTTGCATCGCCTCTTCCGGCGTCGTCACGCTCGACCCCACCACGCTCAACCTCACCAATTCCTACGATGCCGGCTCCGAGTTCGACCACGCTGAGGCTCTCGCCGCCACCGACGAGTTCACGCTCGCAGTCCGCACCGATGCCCGCGGCAAGTTCAAGCCCATGCGCTTCTCGTCCCCGCTCCGCCCGGGGATCCTCACCGAACTCCACCGCCTCCGCCCAGTCCAGGCCTCCTTCGACTTCCCCGTCCTCCACCTCCGCCGACGCACCCACGAGTGGGCCCCCTTCGTAAGCACATCCCCTTCCTGAATTCCCGCTTCTATCAACTTCACATCCCGCTACTATCTACTGTGTTGTGCTGCTGTGAACAAAAAACTAGCAATGCGAGGCTGTTTTTTTTTTGGAAATAAACCAAGGCCTAGTTTCTGCAAGTAATTTTGCTGTACAACTCTATTCTGATCAGTTGATGCTTCCATGCCCAATCTCATCTAGTACAACCCTACTTCATGATTGAATTTGTTGCATCCTTAAGATAATCCACCAGATCTCATAGCACCAGGCTACCAGTTCAAGTAGAACAATTGAAGATAATTCACATATTTGCACATTCATTCTTGCTCAATTGTTTGTGATTTTTGAACTATATGAAAAATAGAATAACAAATTCAACTTGTGCCACAAAATGTGCTAAAAATAGATGACGTGCTAAGAAATACTCCTTCCAGTCAGATCCATATGATGTTTCAGACAGCAAGTTTGGCTTGCATTTAGCTTTAGTTTGTTGTTTGAAATGTCATATATAAGTGACTGGATGTGGTAGATGATTGTAGTGCACCACTTCTATGGTTATTATTTAGATACCTAGCTGATTGCGGAGACCATCTTTGATAATTTATTACTCACATAATGCTGTATTGAAAAAAATACTGTTGTATGTATCACATGATGTCTAATACTTTGGTTACTGTATCTGAACATTCTGTAGAAACTTAAGGTCACTCCTGTGGGTGTTGAGCTCCTTGAGGCTTCTGGTGATATGCGCTGGTGCTTGGACTTCAGAGATATGAATTCTCCGGCAATTGTGCTCTTGGGGGATAGCTATGGGAGGAAGACTACTGAAGGTGGAGGGTTTGTGCTATGCCCTCTTTATGGTAGGAAGTCAAAAGCTTTTATGGCTGCTTCAGGAACTACAAACACTGCAATTATATCGCATCTGGTACACCCTTTTGTCCTCGTCCTTTTTGGTCGTTCCACTCCAGTGATACAGATTTTTTGTAGTTCTATGTAACTTCCCGTTATTGGTTGCCTTTCAGACGAAAACTGCCAAATTAAAGATTGGACTATCACTATCTGTGGATAATTCACAATCAATGAAAACGGACGACTTCATAGCAAAAAGAGGTAGGCAGATCTCTAGTGATGGTGAACTTTAGTTGTACTGTGTTTTATTGGGGAATCTATTTAGATGTTGATAAGGATGAAGATGCTTGCTCAATACTTTTATATATCAATTTGATGTTCTCACCGCATTATCATGCCTCTAGTGTTGCTTTTCCATCCATATGTTTTGTAACTTGGCAGCTTGCAAAACACAAATGAACTGTGAGAATAGCTAAATACCACCTTCAAGCTCCAGATTGATCAACAAAATCCGTGTTTGTCTCATGTTTTGGTTACACATTTATTGATGCTGCCGATCCTACATTTATCTCATATAAGAAACTCTCAGTGATAGTTTATTTGTTACCTGTGAGCCTACGACTATGGTTTTCTCTGATTTTTAATTGCATGTGGACTTCTTTCCCAGCTATTGAGGCAGTTGGAGCTGCTGAAACACGACATGGAGAGTGGTCAGTAACAAGATTACGTTCTGCTGCGCGTGGCACTGCTAGTATTGAGAGCTTAAGTTTGGGTGTTGGACCAAGGGGTGGGCTTGGAGAACAGGGTGATTCTGTCTCTCGTCTGCTTGTTCTTACAAGCACTTCACTTGTTGAAAGACGTCCAGAGAACTATGAGGTAGACATTTTGTCCTCAATTTTATATGAATTGTTAAAACTCTTCTCCCCTCAAGCCATTGGCAATCAAAGAAACGGTATCAATTTTGAGTACGAACCCCCCCGCCCCAAAACACACACACACACACAAAAGAGAGCATATGATAGGTTCTTACTTGTTTTCACTGAATTTCTTTCCAGGCTGTCATTGTACGATCGCTCTCAGCAGTAAGTGCTCTTGTTCGATTTGCAGAAGAACCGCAGATGTTTGCATTTGAATTCAATGATGGCTGCCCAATTCATGTAAGTACACAGGATACAGGTCTCTATCCCATTACAGGAAATGCCATCTAATTGTTCTATGTTTTTTTTCTCAGGTATATGCAAGCACTTCCCGTGATAATCTACTTGCAACAGTTCTTGATGTTTTACAAAACCAGGTATATTTTTTTTTCACTCTCATTATGAACCAATTGACGTCATATTTACCTTGGTATATTTTACACCCAAATTTAAGGTGATTAACAAGCATGACTGTCTCTTGTATTTTGGCACAACTTAGCGATGCATGTTAACCAAAAAAGGAAAGGCATACATCCGGGACAGGACTTTAAGTGTGCCATCTAGGTACCCAAACCTAAGAATCGCACATTTAGATGCCAAAACTTGTATTTGTGCATGAACAACTGTTCAAATTGCACATGATTAGCGACTAATGGTCGTGATGGCACTTGAATGCCATTTAAACCAAAGGGTGGTCATGGGCTGCTAGATAAGATCCACAAAAAATCTTGTAAAAACTGTCCAGCTCCATGAAGCTTCCTTAAAATACAAACCCATTTCCCTAGCAGTTTCGAGCAGCATGTCTGTGTTGGAATTTGACTAGGATTCAGCCAAGGTGGTATGCCATCTTTAGTTACCTATATAACATAGAACTGGAACCTTTTATGACCCACTTATATAAGTTCACGGATTGAAACATGCAATTCCTAAGTTTGTGAACCCAAGTGATTCTGTTGCACATGTTTCAGGACCTAAGGTGCATTTTATTTCTTCTGGCAGCATTCATTCATTTATCTTGAACTACACTTAAGAGTCATGAAGAGTACAGATTCAAATGTATGTGCACCGCTTATGGCAACTTTTTATTTGCAAATACGAATATTCTTGCTAAGATCCATAAGTGTAATGACCAAAAACACCTGGAGAAGCACCATTCCACTCTCATTTTGATTTGTGTGCTTGTGTAGTGTTGCTGTTCCACATAATCACATCTTCTATCTTTAATACATCTGTATAATAACTTCAACTCATACTTCAGAGGTGAAATCTTGATATACTGTGTAACAACATAGTGCAAGCTGTTATGCATCTCCATTTCTCCTACTTGGATTGATCTTCCTCATGTCATTGAGTTTTTATTTTTTTTGAGTCAAGCATAGAGTAGGCGTGACACAGATGAGTGCAGAGTACTAATCTATGCTCATGGGGTCATGATGCGTGTATTTTCTATTTTTCTGTCGTGTTCATCTTGGCCTTTGCGCCTCATGTTTCCTTTTCTCTTTGTTGTTTTCAGAGACAGTGTGCAATTCCAGTGCTACCAAGGTTAACAATGCCTGGTCATCAGATAGATCCGCCTTGCGGGGTAGCACATCTTCAGATGCCCCATCATGGTTCTGTTGATATGGAGTCTGCTACCATGCACATAAAACATTTGGCTACAGTTGCTAAAGAGGCTGTAGCGTCATCTGACACTGTTCCTGGAGCAAAAATCAGATTGTGGCGTAGAATAAGGGAGTTTAATGCATGTGTACCATACACTGGAGTGCCTGTCAATATTGAAGTACCCGAAGTGGTCTTAATGGCCTTAATCAGTCTTCTTCCGATCATACCACAAAGCCTTCCTGCTGATGCTCCTCCTCTTCCGCCTCCATCTCCAAAAGCAGCAGCAACAATAATGGGTTTTGTTGCATGCTTACGCAGGCTACTTACATCAAGAAGTGTGGCATCACATGTGATGGCATTTCCTGTCGCTGTTGGGAGAATAATGGGTTTGCTTAGGAATGGTTCGGAAGGAGTAGCAGCTGAAGCTGCTGGACTTGTGGCTATGCTAATTGGTGGTGGTCCTGGTGATTCATCTATCTTATTAATGGATACAAGGGGAGAATCCCATGCCACCTACATGCATGCAAAGTCTGTACTGTTCTCGCAACCAATGTATGTTCCGATCCTTGTTAACAGGTTGAGTCCAATATCGGTGTCACCATTGTTATCTCTGTCTGTTGTGGAAGTCCTTGAAGCTATGCTTTGTGAACCCCATGGTGAAACAACCCAACATGCTACATTTGTTGAGCTATTGCGGCAAGTTGCTGGTTTGCGCCGTCATTTGTTTGCATTATTTGCACATCCAGCTGAAAGTGTGCGAGAGACTATTTCTGTTATAATGCGTACAATTGCTGAAGAAGATGCAATAGCGGCAGAGTCCATGCGTGATGCTGCCTTGAAGGATGGTGCTCTTCTGAGGCATTTACTAAATGCTTTCTTCTTTCCTGCTGGAGAACGACGTGATGTTAGTCAGCAACTTGTTGCTCTTTGGGCTGATTCCTATCAACCTGCACTTGATTTGCTATCAAGAATACTTCCTCCTGGACTTGTTGCTTATCTCCATACACGTTCAGATGAAGATTCACAGAGCCAGTATGATGAAGCACCGTTGAGCAGAAGGCAGAGACGAATACTTCAGCAGAGGAGGGTTCGTGGTAGTAAAAGTATGGCAGTACAAGAACAAGGGATACCCCCCAATGGTGTTGAGGATGGGGAACCCTTCAGGCACACCAGTGTGGGCACTTACGGAGGAGCAGATGTTCATCAGAGGCATGTTGGCCCGTACTCTTCCACCCACTCTCCTTTGCCAGGTATAAACATTGATCCTTCTCACACAGTTTCAGTTCCACATGGTTCTGTACCTGAGGCCCTTTCTGAAAATAATCATCAAATTGGGGCACCACAGCTGGATTCACATGTTTATTCAGTGGACTGCAATGCCAATGGCAATCTTGTCAGCTCATCGCATTCAGATTTTTCAGTCCCTGCACAGGTTGTGGTGGAAAACACTCCTGTGGGATCTGGCAGGCTCCTGTGCAATTGGTATGGATTTTGGAGGGCATTCAGTCTAGATCACAACAGAGCAGATTTGATATGGAATGAACGCACCAGACAGGAATTGAGGGAAGCATTGCAAACTGAAGTTCATAACCTGGATGTCGAGAAAGAAAGAACAGATGACATTGTCCCTGGAAGTTCAGTCACTGAGGATGCTGGTGGTAGTGACAACTTACCTCGTATTTCATGGAATTATGCTGAATTTTCAGTGAGCTACCCAAGCTTGTCCAAAGAAGTCTGTGTGGGGCAATACTATTTGCGGCTGCTGCTTGAAAGTGGAAGCAACTATCGAGCACATGATTTTCCACTACGTGATCCTGTTGCCTTTTTTAGAGCTCTGTACCATCGATTTTTGTGTGACGCAGATATTGGTCTTACTGTGGATGGTGCAGTACCTGATGAGTTGGGGTCATCTGATGATTGGTGTGACATGGGGAGATTAGATGGCTTTGGTGGTGGTGGAGGATCTTCTGTAAGAGAACTCTGTTCAAGGGCGATGGCTATAGTTTATGAGCAACATTACAAAGTTATTGGGCCTTTTGATGGCACTGCACATATTACTGTCCTCTTAGACCGAACAGATGATAGGGTGTTGAGGCATCGTTTGCTACTACTTTTAAAGGTTTGTTGCTCTGTAGTCTAATTTTCTCTATTTTGTAGTAAGATGACATAATATATGCTAATGTGTAAATATCAACAAGCTTCATTATGTGGTCATTTTCTGGGCAGTGGGCACTGTACAGTACAATTGATGAGTATCTAGACATTTGCTTTGGACATCGACATTAATCTTGGACAATATTTTCAAGAACCAATTTACTATTATGGATCTGCTGATGTGACATACACTCAAATGCTGATAAATCTTCTCCCTCTTTTTCCCTTGTTTTTATAGGCCTTGATGAATGACCTTTCAAATGTTGAAGCATGTGTTTTGGTTGGAGGCTGTGTTTTGGCTGTTGATTTGCTTACTGTTGCACATGAAACATCTGAGCGGACAGCTATTCCTTTGCAATCTAACCTCATTGCGGCAACTGCATTTATGGAACCTTCAAAAGAGTGGATGTACATTGATAAAGATGGCACACAAGTTGGGCCACTTGAAAAGGATGCAATAAGAAGGCTGTGGTCAAAGAAGTCAATTAATTGGACAACAAAATGTTGGGCTTCTGGTATGTCTGACTGGAAAAGGTTACGGGATATACGGGAACTGCGATGGGCACTTTCTGTAAGAGTGCCTGTTTTGACTCCTACTCAGGTATTAAATCTGCAGCTTGTGGTTGGACACATGCTCGCGCCTGTGCTGCTATTTTCCCCCTTTTAGTGTTAGCTATCAGCAAGCACAAATTCTTTCCTCACAAATTAATTTTGCACTTACTTTGTCTGGCATAAAATTGTATTATTAATTTGCACTTTCTTTGACTCGCATAAAAATGTATTTCCTTCTACAGATTGGGGACGCTGCATTATCTATATTACACAGTATGGCATCTGCACGGTCTGATCTTGATGATGCAGGTGAAATAGTAACTCCAACTCCTAGGGTGAAACGTATATTGTCAAGTCCAAGATGCCTTCCTCATGTGGCCCAGGTTATCTCTAGCTTCAAGTGTTTGCTTTCTTTTTCCACCATATAAGTGGATGCTGGAGACTAGATAAATACAACATAAAAGTGACAGTATCTTAGTTTACAACCATCAGATTAATATGCGTATAGGTTAATAGAATGCAACCTTAAAGCTCTGCTGACGTAAGTAGCATTTCCTCGAAATATCACTAAATTGTAACTCTATATTAACCTGTTAGTATAGTCATCCGCATTATAATGCACACAGTTGTCAGTTGATAAGCTATTGTTCATGCCATTAAAGTTCATGCTTTAATTTGTGATTCAATGATCTTATTGAACTTTTCAGATGTATATTTTTCTCTTTCGTTCAAACAATTTCATTGACCAAATGCTGACAAAAAACAAATGGTGTTGTACAGGTTATGCTTACTGGGGAACCAAGCATTGTTGAAGCAGCTGCCTCATTGCTTAAGGCTATTGTTACAAGAAACCCTAAAGCTATGATTCGATTATATAGTACTGGTGCCTTTTACTTTGCATTGGCGTATCCTGGTTCAAATCTCCTATCAATTGCACAGTTGTTTTCGGCCACACATACTCATCAAGCTTTTCATGGTGGTGAAGAGGCAGCACTATCTTCATCTTTGCCTTTGGCAAAGCGTAGTGTACTGGGTGGACTGCTCCCAGAATCTTTGCTGTATGTCTTGGAGCGCAGTGGCCCTTCTGCTTTTGCGGGTGCAATGGTGTCTGATTCTGACACACCAGAAATTATATGGACCCACAAGATGCGAGCAGAAAACCTTATTCGTCAGGTCTTTTACCTATATCCTTTATTTTTATTTGTAAAAACATTTGCTCTCTAGTTTTGAGATTTTAATCTCATTTTAAATTATTTTGTTCAACTTATTTTTGGCAGGTTCTGCAGCATCTCGGTGACTTTCCTCAGAAATTGGAACAGCATTGCCATTCGTTGTATGATTATGCTCCTATGCCACCTGTGACTTACCCGAATCTGAAAGATGAGATGTGGTGCCATCGTTACTACCTCCGTAACCTATGTGATGAGATTAGGTTTCCTAACTGGCCCATTGTAGAACACGTGGAGTTTTTGCAGTCATTGTTGGTAATGTGGCGTGAAGAGTTAACTCGTCGTCCAATGGATTTATCTGAAGAAGAAGCCTGTAAGATACTGGAGATTTCTCTTGATGATCTTGTGCTTGGTGAGAATGGTAGCAGCAAGCAGTCATCTGACTTAAGTTCTTCTAATTCCGGAAACAAAATTGAAAACATTGATGAGGAGAAGCTTAAGCGCCAATACCGAAAGCTAGCAATAAAATATCATCCAGACAAGAACCCTGAAGGAAGGGAGAAGTTTGTTGCTGTGCAAAAGGCTTATGAGCGATTGCAGGTGCTCCTTGTTTGTATGAACAGTTGCCCATTTATGCATGATATCTTTTCATGCTTTCTCCTTTTGTTGCTTAAACTGTTTACTTCATTCACCCTTATATTTCATTGAACTGACGCCTATTGAACTTCTTTTCCTACAAATTGTTAGTAGAATATGTCAAACTAGCGAGCCCCATTAAGGTATGTTTTCACATTGTTGGCTATTTACAGTGTCTACCATCTCTATATGCAGGCTAGTATGCAGGGATTGCAGGGACCACAACTCTGGAGGCTGCTACTCTTGCTGAAGGCACAATGCATCTTGTACAAGAGATATGGAGATGTCTTGGAACCATTCAAATATGCTGGTTATCCTATGTTGCTAAATGCAGTTACTGTAGATAAGGATGACAGCAATTTTCTTTCATCTGATAGGGCCCCTCTTCTGATAGCTGCTTCGGAGCTAATTTGGCTGACGTAAGCTAACACGGACTTTATTGTGTTTATACATTTTTTAAAAACTGCTCACTTTGATTTTTTTTTAGATGTTCGCCTTCTTTGTTATCTGATGTTCCTGTTGTAATGTTCTGTTAGATGTGCATCATCTTCATTAAATGGAGAAGAACTGATAAGGGATGGTGGCATCCCCTTGTTGGCAACACTTCTTTCTCGCTGTATGTGCATTGTTCAGCCCACAACACCTGCAAATGAACCAGCTGCAAGAATAGTCACCAACATAATGCATACCTTCTCTGTTCTCAGTCAGTTTGAGTCAGGAAGAGTTGAGATTCTTAAGTTTGGTGGCCTTGTTGAGGACATTGTGCATTGTACAGAACTTGAATTTGTTCCCTCAGCAGTGGATGCTGCGCTGCTGACAGCTGCGAATGTTTCGGTGTCGTCTGAGTTGCAAAATGCTCTGCTCAGGGCTGGATTTTTATGGTAGTTGTCTTGCCTGCTATCCTTGTTTTCTAAGATTAATGTGGAAAAGAGATGCTAACCGAAATATGATAGTACATTAGGAGAAAAAAAAATTCTTACCTCTGATTTACATAATTGAAATATACTTGCAGGTATGTGCTACCCCTGCTGCTTCAATACGATTCGACAGCAGAAGAGAATGAGACATGTGAGGCACCTGGTGTTGGGGCAAGGGTGCAGATTGCTAAAAATCTGCATGCTGTTCATGCAACTCAAGCTTTGTCTAAGCTTTGTGGTCTCAGTAGTGATGATATCCTGTACCCAGATAACAAACCTGCATACAATGCGCTAAAGGCTCTTCTACTCCAAAGCTTGCTGACATGCTGAGAAACCACCCACCTAAAGAGTTATTATCAAATCTAAATTCAAATTTGGAATCACCAGAGGTAATGGCTTCTATTTTAATTGTATTATATGCCTAGGATAACAACAACAACAACAACAACGTAGCCTTTCAGTCCCAAGCAAGTTGGGGTAGGCTATGATATTTTGATAATTTCATGATAAATAAAATATATCATTAATGTATGCATGCTATAAATTAGTCGTTACCATGGTCTGCAGTATGTTAAGCAACATGCTAATACGCATGCACATGCGGCCGAAGAGTGTGGTCATGCACATTCAGTCTGTTTAGGGTATATGCACACATGCTCTTCTTGCTCCAAAGTTGATATATGATTAACTACTTGTTAACAACATGCATGCACGCACAATTGCACCTGTGCCTTATAGTGTGTGGTCTATGCACACGTCAGTATAGGGAATTATAGTCAGAGTGGATTTATAATTAATTAATTCCAACTTCACGCATCAAGCAGTATGTCCAACAGGTTAGTTTGCATGCAAATGCACAGATACTCTCAGAATCCTAGTGCATATGCTTCATCAATATACATCGATGCTTACTTTATAGCGGCAAATAAGGTGTTCCTTGTGGCACTACTTATGCAAGTATTTTGCTACAGTCTACTTCTATTTGGCTGAACGTGTGTATATGATTCACTTCTTCAATATGTGGTGTTAGTGTTATTGCCTCATATGTGCAATTAAAAGCTGTTTTCTGTGTAATCCTAATGAGAAATATTTCACAAAATCCACTACTTCTATATTGTATTTGTGCAGATGAATTTGAGCTAAAAAAAGAACTTTCTTTTATTGCAGATCATATGGAATTCATCCACCAGAGGGGAGCTTCTCAAATTTGTAGACCAGCAGCGTGCTAGTCAAGGCCCTGATGGTTCATATGATTTGACAGAATCACAGTCTTTCACCTATGAAGCTTTATCCAAAGAATTGAACGTTGGTAATGTATACTTGAGAGTTTACAACAATCAACCGGATTTTGAAATAAGTGATCAGGAGGAATTTTGCATTGCCCTGCTTAAGTTTATAGCAGAGTTAGTACAACAGTGGAATTCCATTAATTTGGAGGAGACGATTCATCAACATGATTCAGTTATCGAAGCATCTATTTCTGAAAATGATGAAGTCCGTGATTCGACTAATGAAGGAAAAATGGATAATTCATCAGGAAAACAAAGTACAGATGGAGATTCTGAAGTTATTATAAACCTCCAAAGTGGGCTAACATCACTTCAGGTGCTTTTATTGAAAAAGTACTTTCTTTAACCTTTTCTGTGTGAGGCAGATTTACTGAATTGCATGTCATGATTTTGTTTTTAATTGCAGAATCTTCTTACAAGTAATCCAGGCTTAGCTGCTGTTTTTGCTTCCAAGGAGCGTCTGATTCCTCTTTTTGAATGCCTTGCACTGCATGTTCCTCCTGAAAGCAGCATCCCACAAATCTGTTTAAGTGTTCTTTCTCTGTTGACTAAGCATGCTCCTTGTTTGGAGGCTATGGTTGCAGAAAGGATGAGCCTCATTTTGCTATTTCAGATACTCCACTGCAATCCTCCTTGCAGGGACGGAGCTCTTGCTGTACTGTATTCTTTAGCCAGCACACCAGAGCTTGGCTGGGCTGCTGCCAAGCATGGTGGTGTTGTTTACATTCTTGAACTTATGTTACCACTTCAAGGTTTGATCTTTACTTCACTATATTGTTACTATAGTTAGGGCTGATATTTTGTTTATCTTTTTTTTTTGCATAATGTGCATGATACTGCAGTCCACATTGTTCTGGTTGTATTAATTAACTTATTTTTAAAAATTTTGGTTGAAATTACTTTTGTTTATCAGCCTCCAGTGAAGTTATATTTTTAAACTTTGATTCGCTTAACTGCTCTGCACCTGGTTTAATTTATACATGTTTTACCTTGTTACAACGACTTCAATAGCTCTAATTATTTAAGTTATATTAATCACTTAATTTGTATTATGTAGAGGAAATCCCTATGCAGCAAAGAGCTGCAGCTGCATCCTTATTGGGCAAACTTGTTGGGCAACCAATGCATGGCCCCAGGGTGGCAATCACCCTTGCCAGGTTCCTGCCTGATGGTTTAGTTTCTGCCATTAAAGATGGACCTGGTGAAGCTGTTGTTTCTTCTCTTGAACAGACAACGGAAACTCCTGAACTAGTATGGACACCCGCAATGGCAGCTTCTCTTTCTGCACAGTTGGCAACAATGGCATCAGACCTCTATCAAGAGCAGATGAAAGGACGTGTTGTTGATTGGGATGTACCTGAACAAGCATCTGGCCAACATGTAATGAAGGATGAACCACAGGTAATTTCTATTCCAGATTTTTTTTTCTTGCGTCAAATAATTCTGTAACTTTGGTTAAGGTGTCAGTATGCTGTCCAAATTTCAGGTTGGTGGAATTTATGTAAGACTTTTTCTTAAGGACCCCAAGTTTCCACTGAGAAACCCTAAAAGATTCCTTGAAGGACTCCTAGATCAGTATGTCTCCTCTGTTGCTGCTACACATTATGAAGCAATTGCTACAGATCCAGAGCTTCCTTTGCTACTGTCCGCGGCATTGGTTTCCTTACTACGAGTTCATCCAGCACTTGCTGACCATGTTGGCTACCTCGGTTATGTTCCAAAGCTTGTTGCGGCTATGGCTTATGAGGGAAGAAGGGAAACTATGGCATCTGGGCAGGCTACCAGTGGATCGCAGGCAGAACCTAGCGAACATGACAACTCAGCTCACTCTGAGGCTACTGTGCAGACTCCACAAGAACGTGTTCGCCTTAGTTGTTTGCGTGTTCTGCATCAGCTTGCGTCTAGCACAACCTGTGCAGAAGCTATGGCAGCAACAAGTGCAGGAACTCCTCAGGTATTTGATTGTTTGATTGACTTCTTTTTTAAGTTATTATTATTGTTGTAAGCTGTAACTCTCGCTGGGTAAGGCATGGTCAATCTCTTGCATAGCATCTTTTTATTTTGTTGATACAACAGTGTGACTGCTTTGTGATCGCCTCCTAAAATGTTTCTCATAATAAAGGTTTTTAATACTAAAACGGTACCTTTGAATAGTAATTATTCTATCTAGACAGTGTGACTGCTTTGTGGTCACCTCCTAAAATGTTTCTCATAATAAAGCTTTTTAATACTAAAACATTACCTTTGAAAAGTAATTATTTTGTCTAGACCTGTAGTTCAGATTAGATTATATGCATATAGTAATTATTCGATTTCTGGCATCTTTTATTAGTCCAACTGCAGTGTTAATCTCACTATTTACCGCTTCCAAATTTTGGCATGTTTTGCCTACCTAGGTCCAAGCCTCAAGGCGGCACCCTGCTGCCTAGTGCTGTTAGAATACTACTTTTTTTAAGTGTGCTTTCCTTGACATCCTTAAGACCACAATTTCTCACTTTAAAAAAAATCCAGTATGACCAATTTCATACCACATTCTGTCACAAGTGACATCTAAGGGACCCATCATAATCTTTTCTTGCTTGAACTGCCATGCAGGTCGTACCACTGCTTATGAAAGCAATTGGATGGCAAGGTGGAAGTATACTGGCATTGGAGACATTAAAGCGTGTAGTCGGTGCTGGTAATCGGGCTCGTGATGCTCTTGTTGCACAGGGGCTTAAGTAAGCTGCTCTGAATGCCTATATAGCTATTAGTGCATATCATGTGAATTTGTGAAATTGCCTTAAAAGCTAAATTTCCGTCAAAAAACATTAGTAAAACTTCAAGATTTTTTTCCTGAAAAAGAAGTTTAGCAGCTATAACTGATTGTGCATTATATAGACAAAGATGCATATGAAGTCAAGTCAACAGTGCAAAAATTGTGAATTTACTTGAGATGAAATTGTTTGAGTCTACTAATATGCAAATTCAAGTATTCTGTAGTATCTCAGGTCATGCCTGTTTTTGCTTGCTTATAAAATTACTTAAGCAATCCATTTTATTGAATTTTTTCTTATATTTATTAAACATGAAAAATGGTAATACATTTTTCTTTAAATAAATCAATATGTTACATTTTCTGAACCTTTAAACAAACCAAAACACAAGATTTAGTCCAAAAGCTTACGCTATGTGGGAAAAATATTGTTCACTCCAAACTAGTTTTTCATGGAATCAAGTCTTTCAACAACTAATCTTGGTTGTGTATTTCATAATGAAACAAAACAGGGTTGGTCTTGTTGAAGTGCTCCTTGGTATTCTTGATTGGCGTGCTGGTGGAAGACAGGGACTCTGTAGTCAAATGAAGTGGAATGAATCAGAGGCTTCAATTGGGCTTGTTTTGGCTGTGGAGGTAACTGTTGCCTTCTTTCTTTCTTTGGGATGCCATTAAGTTTTTTTAGTTCAATTCCATTATACCCTAAATTTATCTTATTTTTAAGGGGTGACCTTCACATGAGATTTGATCAGTGTTATTAAGTCGTCCGACTACTTGCGATTAGTCGGCCTTATTGGTCCCCCAGCAATGATTATGCCCACTGATTCAACTGGAGTGGCTAGAAACCAAGTCATCTGATTAGTCATCGACTAATTATGACTAATTGGATGATTTGGGCATGGATGACTAACAGGCGGATTTCATTTTCATCATGGGCTGCCATCTGGCTGTTGGCCCATTAGGATCATTAGTTTTTTTGGCCCAACAGGGTTTCCTTTATTACCTTTCCACCCCTCTCTTTCCTGTGTATTCCTGCACTGCAGCCACCACCTGCCTTTCGACTCCCGCTCGACAGGCAGCAGCAGGTCTCACCGTCTCGGAGCCAACACAGAGCTGCTTCATAAAAAAAAAAAGTCACTGCTGAAGCTGTTTTGGCTAGAACTAGAACTGAGCTCTACCAAACGGGCTCTAACTGTTTGTTTGTGCTGTTTTTTTTTGTTTTGTTATCGATGCACGTAATTCTTGTTATGCATACTTGGATGGCCTCATCAGTCTCCAGGGATTGTTTCTTTGTTGACGTCTTATTTGTTTTTCTGTTCATTCCTTAGTTACCTTTTTTTTGTTTGATTTGCACAGGTGCTTCATGCTTTTGCAACCGAAGGTGCACACTGTGCTAGAGTTCGTGAAGTCCTGAATTCCTCTGATGTAAGTAACTCCCCACTGCAATAAAAGTTACAGAACCCTGTGAAATTGGGAAACTACATTTGTGATCATGACAAGTGATTCACCAAACAGAAAATGACAAACAAATGCTGGACTGAAAAAAATCCTTTTATGTAGGTATGGAGTGCTTACAAGGACCAGAAGCACGACCTTTTCCTTCCATCCAATGCACAATCTTCTGCTGCTGGAGTTGCTGGGCTCATTGAGAGCTCATCATCAAGACTCACTTATGCCCTCACCGCACCACCACCTCAACCTTCATTGGTCCGGCTGCCATCTTCTTCTCCTTCTCCACCATCAGCTCCTGCAAACCCTAGTGGACGGCATTCTTATCAGCATTCCTAGTGGAAAACGAAACACGTTAATCTCAGCTCCTTGTAGTATGACCATGAAGGCACCATGGTAACGATTTGTAGAGTGAGGCCACCTTGAGTGGGCTTGTTACTGCCACCAAATACAGCTCGTGCCTCCATTCCCCACCAATGAGCAGCTGATCAGTGGCTGCATTTCAGTACATAGCATTGTACAGTTTCCATTACATAGGGGTCGGGGTCGGTTTTGCGTTTGTTTCTTGTACACATGTAAAGCATATGATCTTTTTTGTAACATAGATGTCCATAGAATACTCGAGCTGAAAATTGTATCGAGTCATTGCTGGGTGGGTGCGCTCCCTTGTTCTGATCACACGACTTTCTTGGGACGAGAGAAATGGATGTTTTTTTTTGTCATTGTTTGATCAGCATTCTGTGGCGCCAGTTAACATTTTATAGTCGTATATTGCCGTTTATGACCGAGTGAGGCTTCATATATCCTGACTTTTGTCTAGGGTTTGCTATTTTATTTGTAATAATAAAGTTGTTTGCTTGACGCCTTGTCTGCATGTAACAATGCAAAACACATTAAAAAAAATCAACATGCCCCAGCCGGGAATCTAACCCCCGGTCTGTAACGTGGCAGGGTACTATTCTACCACTAGACCACTGGTGCTCGTCGTGTCTTTTTGCTCAGATGATCTTATTTCATCGCGGTTTTCTTTGGAGTATGTCGCTGTCAATTCATGTCAGTTTTATTTTATTTAAAATAGCGTGGAATCCAAATTGAGTCACATGCGCTGGACTTATTCATATTTTTGTATTCTTTCTTGGATTACTTTTTTAAACGAAACAGATAGAACAAAAGGCACGTGGACACCAAACAACTCACCACATCTCTTATCCTCAATTCGCTGCCCAAATTTTCTATCCATCCTTACTTATTATCTTGCTTACCGTATTACAAATAAGATAAATGATCAGAGATGAAGCACACGCCGATGCTTGTAAGCAAAAATGGAGCCAGCTCTTATCCTTGCAGTGCTCGGCAATGGATATTGGATGAGATTGAGACGGACAGGGGAGGCAAGCATACAGCAAAGCTCTTTTTGCAGCCAGTGATGGCCGGCCCGGGCTGGTGTTAGTTAAAGTCACATGCGCGATAAGCAAAGCCGCACGCCACTCTTGTCCCCTCCACAAAAACATGTCTAGCCGACTCAGAGAGAGTTTTAAAAACGTCCCAAAAGGAAACTATTAGTAGCAATATAAAGAAGAAAAAAGGATTTATACATACGCATGTGCTATGTGCCCTTTCCTCATCCATCGCTAAAAAAAAACCCCCAATAGCCATTATGCAGTAGTTGGCTGGTCACTGGATAATGGTGTTTATGCAAGTCAAGGCCAGAAGTACCGGATTTATATATTTTATATTTTATTAATTCATGCGGGAGCTGCTACTCCATGTGAAATTCCTGCAAACTCAGGCGCAAGCAAGTTGGTCCTCCCCTTTTTCTTAGGCCTTATTTAGATTACCTCAAAATTCTAAGTTTTTTCACTCTCTCTCTATCACATCAATTTTTGGACGCATGTATGAAGCATTAAATGTAGGTAAAAAAAATAACTAATTACACAGTTTGGTTGTAAATCATGAAACGAATCTTTTGAGCCTAGTTAGTCCATAATCGGACAAAGTTTGTCAAATACAAACAAAATATGCTACAATATCCAGATTACAAAAATTTACAATCTAAACTAGGCCTTATATAGGAGGGAAAAGTTGCTTCTCCTTCACTTGCCTAACTCGCTTCATGCCTAGTGCTTGCACGTGCTTGATGGTGAAGCTTACCCAACTACACCCAACTCACATGCCCCTGTCGTTCATGTTAAACTCTCGCACGCCCTCACAGGTGACAGGACACACCCACAACTTTCAGCCCGTGTTTAGTTCAAAAAAAACTTCCCAAAAAATACTACAGTCATTAAATGTAGATGGAAAAAAAAAACTAATTACATAGTTTGGTTGAAAATCGCGAGACGATTGGAAATCGCGAGACGAACGTTTTGAGCCTAATTAGTTCATGATTGAACACTAATTATCAAATAAAAACAAAAAGTGCTACAGTAACCAAATTCCAACTTTCCCCAAGGCTAAACACGCCCTCAGCTCATCAAATGGGTAATAGGAACACCGAACACAACCAATAAAGATAAAGATCCATCGATCAGTCAAGATATACAACGACATCGACCCCTCAAGCTTTTGAACAAGAACCAATGGTAAACCAACCAAAGACCATGTGTATTGTTGTTGTGAGATAAAAAAAACCGACTCCATTACAAGCGAAATCATGCTGCAAAATACATACATCAGGATCAGGGCATCGTCCACCTCCACCCTGGGCGACGACGTTTGATCCATCCTATATATACAGCTTTGGATTCAACCAACGCTAACATCGGTCGATCCATCATCACAGCTCATAACAACAGGGTACTTAGTTAACAACAACGGGTGGACGCTTGGTGGTTGCTTAATCCTGCTAATTAACACGCTACTGGCAAAAACACAACAAGATGATGAACAGCAGCAGAACTGCAGAAGCTATCATCATCCATCCTTCCTTCTAAAGTTTACAACAACAGCACCAGCATCATCGTCGTCTCCCTCCTCCTGAATCTCTCTGGCTATCGTGTTGTGACGACGATGACAGTCCGGTGGTGAATAGCAGTATCAGTATCGTCCCTATCCGGCAGCCACAGGCGAGCTGAGCTCTCCTTGATTACCTGCCCATGGCAGACCCGGGCTCCGCGAGGCGGCTGTAGAGCGCGGCGTTGAGCTGGTCCTGCGAGTATATGCGGCTGGACATCTTCACCGCAATCTGCTGGATCATGAGGTCCTTGACGACGGAGACGCTGGCGTGGTAGACGTCCAGGTCCAGCTCGCGGAGCGCCGTCATCAGCCGCGCCGACGGGTGGTTGCGCTTGTGGCACTGCACGCGGATCATGGCCTCCAGACCCAGGATCTTGGCATCGATCTCCACCGCGTGGCAGCGCGGCCCGCCGTCGTGTCCGCCGAGCCCAGCGGCGTGCGGGGGTGGCCGCGCGTCGCGCTCCTTCTTGAGCGCCTCGACCTGGGCCTGCAGCGTCTCCTTATCGGACTCCAGCGACGTCAGCTTGCCGCGGAGCTCGTTGATGTAGGAGATGGCGTCGCCGAGCAACGACGCCTTGTCCATCTTGGACACGTTGGGCACCACGGCGCGCAGCGCGTAGAAGCGCTGGTTCAGCTTCTCTCGCCGCTGCCGCTCCGCCTCCACGTGGTTCAGCGGCTCCTCGCGCCCGTTCGCCGGCTTCCGCCCGCGCTTTCGCGGCCGCTTCTCCGCCTCCGGTGGCGGCGCCACGACGCGGCTGCTCTCCACCTCGCGCACAGACGCGTCCAGGTCCGAGTGGTCGGACTCCGACTTGGCCGGCGCGCCCATGCCCGTCGACGGCCGCGTAGTGGGCGCCGACGAGAAGGACAGCATGCCCTCGTTCGCCGTCGCCGCCGGGTGGTGGTTGGTGTTGCTCGCCCGGGAGGTGGCCTCCATTGAACGCTTATTGTTGTTCTTCGCATCGTTCACAGCGGCGGCCTGTGTCATGGTCGCCGTGTGCTGCGAGAAGAGGCTCCCTGGAGCAGTGGTGAGGCTGGCGGTGGCGGCGGGAGGCGCCGACGACGGGTTCCTCCGGGCGTTGCTATCGGCGCCAAAGCTGAGGATCTCGCCGAACTCAGGCTTGAATAACGGCGGGGTCACCGCCAAGGAAGAAGGGTTGGACGCAAAGTCGGAGAAATTGAGCTCCCGGCGGAACGGGCCTTGGTGAGCCTGATTCTGGTGCTGGTGCTGCCGCTGCGGTGCAGTGGCCGGCGCCGGCGCGGGTGGCGGCGCGTGCACGGATGGACTAGGGTTCTCCATGAGCGTGCTCGTGCTCGTGTTCTCAAAATGGATCTATGGCGGAGGTGGCGGCGGCGGCTTGGAGACGGAGATCTCGGCCGACGGGTGCGACAAGGAATCCTTGATGTCCATGACCGGCGTGTCGGCGAGCCATAGCACGGAGGGGTCCGTCTCCGCCTGGTCGACTCCAGCCGCGGGTTGCTGCTGCGATGGCGCCTGAGGCTGCACGGGCGGCCACGAGCCACCCCCTGCTCCGCCCCCGAAGAGCGAGCGGATCTTCGCCATGCTCTCGGCGGTCTGGAACACGACGTCGGTGGAGCCGAGCTCGAGCACCCCGGTGCCGACGGGGAAGCAGACCATGGTGCGGAGGCCGAAGTTGTAGGCCTGGCGCGCGCGCTCGCACGGCGCGGAGGAGAGGCCAGAGGCGATCCAGGTGGGCTGGCCGGCGAAGAGCGCCTGCCCGGGGAGTCCCGTCCCGTTGAGAAACGACTGCGTCATGGAGACGAGGAAGAACCACTCGGTGTCGGTGACCTCCTCCTCGACGGCCTCGTCGGGCGCGGCCGCGGCGCCGGAGATGAGGGAGTTGAGCTCGCGGAGCACGCGCTTGCGGTGCTCCTGCTCGGCCTGGGCGGCGGGCGTGAGCGGCCTCTGCTTGCACTTGTCGTCGTCGCAGCCCTTGTAGTAGCCGTCACCCCAGCCGAGCAGCGAGGCGCCGGTGGCCGCGTCCAGGGAGGACTGCCAGAAGATGGCGTAGGTCCAGGTCTCCCTGGACCCCTCTATCATGGCCTGCAGCCGCTGCTGCAGCGTGTCCTGGTTGAACCCCGGCGCCATCGCCGCCGCCGCCGGCATCTGTTGCGGCGGCGGCGGCGTCGCCGCGGCGGCCGACGAGTTGCCGCCCCCGGCCGTCGCCCCCCAGGGGAAGGTGAGGTCGGCGGAGGCCATGAAGGCCTCCATCATGGAGGCGTTGTCGTCCGTCCACAGGTTCATGGAGGCAGCCGAGGAGAGGGGGAGGGCGAGGTAGTAGACCCGAAGGGAGCGAAGAGGAGGGAGGAGAAACGGTGGGTGGAGAATGGAGGGAGGAGGGGAAAGCGAAATTTGGTTTAGATTACGGAATCAGTGGGATTATGGCCCAGACCCGAAAACGCCCGTGCTAATAGTGGGCGCTTGTCCCGCCTCTTGTTAGGCTGGCGAGGGCAAATACGGAAACATTTTTTGGCCCGGGGCAGGGCCAGGGCCAGGTCCAGGGCTACAGGGCCAAGTGGTAAAACGGGCAATCCCTCGGGTTGATTTTAGGAGGGCACACCTACAATTCAGGGTCACAGGTTTGTGTAACCGCCGGGTTCGTAGCCCGCCTCCTACAAAAGGGGCCCGGTTGTCAGTGACAACTCACGGTGCCATAGGCCATAGGACATTCTCGTGGTTAAGGGTTGCAATTGCTCGTGTTGGACCTACCTGTCATTTCTATGGTTTATTGATCTTTTTAGCCTACCTAGTATTCATGCTTTTTTACACGTGAAAATGATGTGGGTCGCTACATCGGATGGGCGAGGAGCAAGGCACGGTGCATACTTATCGGCACAATCTCATTTCTAACTTTTTCATTGGGTGTACTGGTGCTTCCTCCATCTAAAAAATTACAATTTTTGTTTTTCGAGAAATTAAATGTTTTAGACTTTGGTCAACGTTATATAAAAAAGTAATAATATTTATAAAATAAAATAAGGGTGCATTTTTCATACTCTCGGGAGTAGTTATTCCCACTTTCAATAAACAGCATTGCGTATGTGTGCATACTCATTTATCAATTTGAGTATGTTTATATACTTATTTATGATACTCCAAATCATACTACGTGAATTTTTTTAGAAGAACCATATTTTTTAATATGTTATTATAATACTATGACAATAGTATATAAAATAAGTATAACCATATACTCAGTATATACTTACATACTTAACATACATACTATCATAGATGGTCTAGTATGATCATATACTTCGTCAACATACACTTCGTCGGGCCATATATACCATAAATCTAAAGATATACACATGGGAGTAACTACTCCCTGGGAGTATAAAATAATTTCCCATAAAATAAAATAAATATTATTGGAATAAGTATGACATCTATTTGAAGACATAAATATTAATACTATTTATTATAAATTTAGTTAAATTTTGAGCTAATTTGACTGACAAAAATCTCATAAACACGTTCTTTTTTTTGGCACGGAAAAAGTACATAAGAAAGTGCTGATCTGGTGCACGATACATCTAATTCAACATATATACTAGAGGGAGTCGGTATTTTCCACATGCGAATATGGTGAGCCACCAATCGTGGATGGGAGCAGAGGGACGAGCACATCATGCGTATCCTCTGGATTGCATGGCCAGCTTTTTGTATAAGAAAATTTATTTGGCTGGCGGTGATGGTATGGTAGATCTCTTATTCTTCAGAGGTAATGAATAAATGCATTGCAGGGAATGCTATGGTACATAAGAATCAGGTGTTGTTAAATACACTTCAAGGATACATTTCACAAAATCTACTCCCTCTGTCCATAAAATGATGCAATTATGGGATCCGTGCTGGTCAAGTTTGCTCAAGTTTGACTAAGTTTATAGTAAATATTATCAATATTTATGTTTCTAAATAAATTTATTATGAAAATATATTTTGTAACTAATCTAATGATACTAATTTTGTATAATGAATGTTAATATTTTTTAATATAATTTTTGTCAAAGTGTAAACTGTTTGACTTCTCGAAAAGCGAGAATTGCATTCTTTTATGGATGGAGGGAGTATTTGCACAACGAATCACTATTCTACGATACATATATATTGTGTGATTTGAATAGTACCAAAAGCAATCTAAACTATGATAATGCCATCTAAGACTTATGGCGCATTTGGTAGCGCTCCGCGTGAGGGTCAACCAAACGCCCTAGGCCGCTCCACTCCGTTGTAGAAGCTCCGAGAATCATGTTGAGAGAAGCGAGGAGATAAAGGAGCCAAAAATAATACTCCCTTTGTCTACAAAAGAAAGTAATTCTGGCACAGTACGAAGTTAAAGTATTCTGAGTTTGACTAATTATAAATAAAAAATATTAATACTTATAATATCAAATAAGTATCACTAGATATCTTATGAGATGTATTTTTATAATATACTTATTTGGTGTCATAAACACCAATATTTTTACCTATATGTGTATACATTTGGTCAAACTTTAAACTCGTTTACCAAGAATGCATTTATAATTGCATTCTTTCGTGGATAAAGGTAGTAACTTCACCTAGCTCCTTCTCAATGCAGTGGGCCTGGCGTGTGGCCGATGTCTGATTTTGCCCCGGCGTGGGCCGGGGAGGGAGGGCCGAGCTGTCAACCCGTGGATGTGTGGGAAGACGAAGAAGAAAGGGAAAAGGAGACATGTGGTGTGGTTTGGCATGGGAGAGATAAGGTGGAGAGAGAAGATGAAGAAAAGAAAAAAATACATCGTGGACATTTTACCCTTTTCAACAACTAGAAAAAGTTATTTTACCAAACTTTTTTTCTAACCAGTGAAGCTAGAGCCAGAAAAGAATGCTTCATCAAAGAAGCTACAACTGGAGCTGAAACTCTATCAAACAGACGCTTAGCCATTGCTTGTTTTGTACGGGCATGTCTGTTTTCAAATGTGATATCAATGGGACTAGTCCTTTTTGACACGAGAATGCACACGGAGCACCAAATATTGATGCAAATGTGGGAACCCCTCGTATTTTGAGGACAGATGGAGCATGAAATATGTATATATGTGCTGGATCACATGCATTGGAAGAAAAATTGGCGCTCAAAGAATTGACTAGTGTGGCTAAAGATGGAAAGAGGCACATATGACTCATGTTGTTGGCATGGATTTGCGTTGATTGTAGGGGGCGTTACCGTTGTGCATACCTCTCACCATATAGTACGTACATCTATTGCGCGCAGGTTTCCTCATTATGAGTCTGCGAGGAGCACTACCACTATCGGTACGAGTACGATGGAAGATGAGATGCATTACCTAATACCAGTACTTTGTGTGACCTACATTTTTTAATGGCAGTTGTTAGCTTTGTTTCATAGGATCATGACATAAACCTTTTCTCCTTAGTCTAATTGTCAATATGTACTCTATATACACGGTACTAGTAGTAGTACGTAGATTAACAATCACAAATACTCCCCACCGTCTCAAAATAGATGATCTTATATATAGCATTTAAATTTTATCCTAAAATACTTGATTCTCTCACTTCTTAATGTATCTTTTTTTATTATCAATATTCTATTATCTTTTTTAATATATCTCTGTCTCTACTTCTTTAGATATACTTTGGTCCTTTAGCTTCGGCGTTAATTTTTATGAGAGATTCTAAAATACTCATTCCATCCTAAAATAAGAATCGTTCTCGTTTTTGGAGAGATCAAACACATTTAATTTTGACTAAATACATACAAGAAAAAATATTAACACGCACCTGCAGAAGCAGCAAGTTGGACTCTTTTAGCGACGGAGGTAGTAACACGCACGTGTAGAAGCAGCAAGTGGCACGGGAGGAGGGTGAAGTGGGGTGTTGAGCATGATACGCAGCAGCCAAAGGGATGGCAAGCCAACTGAAGTGACACTGTGACAGTGAGTGTGGGAGGGGCCTGGTTTAGTTCCCAAAAATTTTCACCCCAAATTATCACATCGAATCTTACGGCATATGTATGAAGTATTAAATATAGATAAAAAAAAACTAATTACACAGTTTGATTGGAAATCGCGAGACGAATATTTTAAGACTAATTAGTCCATGATTAGCCATAAGTGCTACAGTAACTAACATGCGCTAATGATGGATTAATTAGGCTTAATAAATTCGTCTCGCAGTTTCCAGGCGAACAATGTAATTAGTTTTTTTATTAGTATCCGAAAACCCCTTCTGATATCCCTAAAACATCCGATATGATATCAAAAATTTTTATTTCGCAAACTAAACACAGCCTAGATAGCCCAGCCCAGCCCAGCCCACGCCCACCCAGCCGGCCGGCTTGTCTGACCGTTGAATTGATTCCATCCCTGTCAGGAGAGTGGCCCACGTGCAGCGGTTGGTACCCCTCCATTGGCGGGTCCACGCAGCAGACAAACGAATAAATTTATATTTATATTTAATAATAAAGAGATAAAATTTCTTATCATAATTTTTTTTAACTTTTCGGTCTGTTCGCTGGTTGGTTTCTGGGCTGATAAGCTCGATTAATGTTAATTTGTTGTGAGAGAAAACACTATTAGATGGCTGATAAGTCCTGACTGAAACCGTCAAACGAACAGACTGCTTATCTCTATTTGAATTCTGATTTTTTGTCTGGCATATCCGTATCTTTTTCTTCCTCCCTGTATTCGCGTTGGGCCGTCTGCCTCTCTTCGTGTGAGAAATCTGCCCCACTTGTAGGCACGCGCAGGCACGCAGGCGCACGCCCCTGCCCATTGCACGCGCGCAGCGACAACACGAGAGCAAGCGTAGCAAGCAGCTCCGTGTGTGCCTTGCTCCAATGCTCCTTATTAGCTCGATGACATCATGCTTATGTCACACCCAAATAAGTCTGTTTTCCTTTAGAAAAATAAGTCAAGATATACCGCAGCGACAACACGAGAGCAAGCGAAGCAAGCAGCCCTGTTTGTGCCTTGCCCCAATGGCCTTGCATTCATTTGGTTGGTCTTTGGTCTTTGGTCTTTGGTTAGAAAATTTGGTTGGTCTTTGGTTTTTTGTGAGAGGAAAACACATTGTTATCATTTGAAACCAACAAGAGAACAGGCTGATCCTTATTAGCTTGATGACATTATGCTTACATCACACCTAAATAAGTCCGTTTTCTTTAGAAAAAATAAATCAAGATATACCATCTAAATATAGATATAAATAAAGGCATCCTTAGCCGTCAATCCTAAGATCTATGGCTACGATTA